CACTGCCTCCCCTTGTGAATTTAATCTCCTGTAAGTCAGCACAAAAGAGTCTCCTTTTATTACCAAAAAAAATCCTCCTCATAACTTGTTCTTACATGATGGAGGATGCCTGAATTTTTGGTGAAATTCCCAGCCAAAATACACACAGACACACACACACACACACACACACACACACACACACACACAGACTGTTACAGAGCTTTCAGCACCAACCTACCAATACTTTCCATTCAGTATCTCCACACACACCCACATCAACCGTAGAGTTATTATTGTTTGTTCAATTTACGTTACATGTTTATTTGAACCGTCAAGGGGAATTGTGCCTATTTCTCAAATGACTGAGACGTAAATAAAATTATTCAGAGAGTTTGTTGTGAAATCGTTCACTGTAGAGAAACTGAGCCAGTTTTCTTTACAGTGGTGGTGATAGGAACCACGTGTCACAAAGTCTACAACACCAATACAGCCATTTTATTTTCTATTTATTTACTATTTACCATCCAAAATGACCAGTGAAACTGCGTGTGTCTCCTATGTTTTTATATATAATGTTAATACTGTTTAAACAGTGGAAAATATGTATTCTCTGGGGATTTTGCATTCTGCATGTACCATTCTGCCATAAAAAGATGAAAAAAAATACATTTTAGGGCAAAAAAAAATCATAAAACAATGTCTCAGGCTTCAGCCACTGTATTTGTAATCATTTAATATAATAACTCTCAGTGAGGGAGCTTTCAGAGGCTGACGTCTGGTTCCTATCACCATCACTGTGAACAATTCTGACACTGTAAGTTTCTCCAGAGTGGAGCATTTCTACATTACAGAACGTTTCTACATAAAATCTTTTGATCATACTATGCAGACCAGTATTGCCCAATTTATTTTTTTGAATTTATCCAATCTGTGTTGCAACTATGAGGTAAATGACGTGAGTCAGGTAAGTGCACTCACGCTGTATTTGCATGCTGCTTCTACACCAAAACCAAAATGCCATAGCATAATTACACATGACTCACTAAAACAGCTAAACAGTCAGTCGCCTCTTACCTTCAACGTAACACTTTCTTTGATTCATGTTATTTAAATAGCCAACCGATTATCATTTATGAATTTTAAAAAACAGTCTGGCCCATGAAAGAGCAACTGATGTTATTTTTATAGCGACTTTGGCTAAGTGAAAGTACAGGGCATGTCCTCGTGAGTGTTTCATGTGTTCATTTAGCCCACACACTGTGAGCTTCGGACTGAAAAAATAAAAACGTTAATAAAAAGCAGCCAGAAAAATTTGGCTGTAAAGAAATCTGGATCAGAATCGGCCATGAAGATTTATGATCAGTGCATCCCTAAACAAAGTGATAACAAATGTGCTGCTTGATGCATTATTTTATTATAGTTTTGCAAGATTTTGGAATAAAATATCTATATTCTTAAATAGCTTCACAGTGGAGAGGTAGTGCATAAGGCATGTAGGGGGCATGTAGGGCATAAGGCAAAAAAGTCCCCAAAGAGACCTTATTTTTTGGATTTGCTACTATTTTACCATCATCAATCACTATTACCATTCCAAAAACAAAAGATTCTGATTACGTTCAACCATATTTCTATGCATATATGTATGTATTCTAACGTTATGTAGTGCTTTACATGCAAAAACCCACTTATCACCAAGATAAACAGTTCCAAAGAATATTCTTGGCTGTCTAAAACTTTTTCACAGTGCTGTCAGAGTGAAATCTCTAAGTTAAGGTATGTACAAATGGAGAAACATTCGTACAGCGAATACATTCATTTTGTCTACATTCTGTTTCTGCAGATTCAAGTCTATTTTTTCTGCTAACAATGTCAAAAATGCGGTAGACTGTCTTTCTGTAAAACAAGACCGGTCAGTTAACAGTGGCTGGGTTTACATGCAAAGATTTTTGCCAATCCAATTGAATACAATCGGATTACAGATTCAGACTGAGGTGTTTATATGCACACTCTATTCAACAACTTGATAGAAATTCTTCGTTCACATGCTCACTACAAGTAATCCGATGTAAAATGACGCGCATGCGTGGAGTAGCGCTTAGAGTAAACGTTACCATGACAGCGAACATCACGTGAGGTCCAGTCCGCGTGAGATGAGTTTCCAGTTGGCGCCCTTGTGTTTTTAATTGCTTTAAAATGATGTCAGACTCAGGAAAACGTGCTTCACATGTCCTTATTAAAGAAGGCCGAGAGGACGTACCACCGCCGTCTTTTAAAGATCAGAGCATCAACTTTGTCTCCTCTGCAGACCAGTTTCTGCTCCGCCATGTTGAACAGTATAAACTTTCGCCGTGACGCGACGCACATGCGCAGAACATACTTAGACGTTCCGATTGGAGTGTAATCGGATTCAGGCGTTTACATGGATATTATTCTTCTATTTAACGGATTATTTAGAGGTTTCCCCACCTCGTTCAATCGGATAGAAATTGTATTCCGAATGGCCTCAATCGGACTAGACTATTCCGATTGAGGTGTTTACGTGGACGTATTCTATTCCGATTGAGCTATTAGTCGGATTATTAACAGATTATCAGGCTGCATGTAAACGTGGCTAGTGTTAACTGTAACTACTAAGGGTTAAACCCTGGCATGCTTCATATAGAATGCATAGAGAACCAGCCTTTGCTTCTTAAATCTAATCTCTTGTCTCTAGCCTGTGAGCTTTGCCCATCGTGCATTTGAGAGCAGGAGAGTGGTAGAAGACGGCATACTGCTAGACTTTGGGCTGATTTCGCAGGCTAAACCTGAGGGGCTCCTGCAAAAGCGGCCTGCTTTCTGACAGCAGAGCAGTTGGCTTACAGGCTCCACTGCAGCTCTATTGTTCTAAATAAATAACTGGCTGGCTAGACGGCAGGGAGATAAAAATATTCCCCTGCTCTCATCTCGCAGTGGATATTCCGCACCAAAAACCTGTGCACGGCTTAAGGGCACTGTCACTCTTAAGGCCCATAAAACTTCACAGCACAACCTGCCGCTTCAAGTGAGAGATTAAATATCCCAGAACCTGTAACATGTGGCGGAATGTAAACATGTAAATTCGCAGCCTGCAGTGCTGTTGCGTCTTCCTTTCACTGACTTTCTTATGTGTTAGAAGTGAAATCTCACATGGTTCCAATCAGGAGATGAAAATTAGAAGAGCGAATAAAGCAGTGCTGCTCTTTTCCACTAAAGTAAGAAGTGCTTGAATAATGTTGTAAAAAAATCCTGTTATATAATAGTGTATAGTCTATAACACCAGGGCTAAGAGATAGTATAGAAGTCAATTGCTTCATTCCAAGCAGAAGTATTTTGCATTCCTATACTGTTTAGAACAGACTGAAGAAAAGACTTAATTCTGTTTCTTTTATATAGGCTTCATGTAGGCCTAATATAACAAAATAGTAGGTTCCAACATACAGCAATGAAACAGCCCATAATATTTTACTATAGGTTGTCATGATCAACTTCAATCTAAATGCAATGTTACACATTAATAGAGTTTGCAAATTCTCAGGTTAAAAATGTACAGATATGCTACCTGGCATGGTTCATAGCATCATGACAGGTCAAATAAGTTCATGTGAACTTGTACAGAAGAGCACAGTGGACATTCAGAGCTACTTGTAGGTGAAGAATCTAATGTCCAATCATAAAAACATGTTATATAAATCTGTAAAATGAACGAAATCATGCAAGACGTGTTGATCATCCAAAAAGTGGTGGGGTGGGGGGGGGGCTTTGGAGGTAAACCACAAATAATATTCAAGTGGCCTACACAAAATGAAAAAAATAATTTTATTAACCCCTTGCAAAGATTTCAAATGCATGTTTTTGTTCTGGAACAAGACCAAAATACTGTTTGTTTCCAGCTTTCATTCCGCAAACCAAATTTGAGCCCTGTGTAGCATATTACTGCAGTCATATCAAAACCTTTTATTTTTCAGTTTTGATTTTCTACTACCCCATTTAAAGCTGCACTATGCAAGTTCTGTGGATTTGGAGACCTCTCTGGTGGAAACGTGTAATTGCACGCAACATGCGGAAGAATATTTTGCAACGTTGGTTGCGCTTCAGACCCCTTCCTCAAGCAGATGTATGTGATGACTGCGGGCAAGAGAACTCAGTGAAAACTTGATAAAGGATGAGCATGGAAGCGAATGATCTACTACTGTCATCATATCTTCATCAGTGAGATCTAAACATCAAGCAGGACCTTCTTTTTGAGGCTGTGAGTGTGACATTAATATGTAAAGACGTATGACTTTAAAATGACTCTTTCAGGCTTTACAAGGTGACCTGCAGTTTTTTTTTCCTCCTGATTCAGTGATGTTACTTCTTTCAATTTTAACGAAATCCATTACACCATGCTGCTTAAAAAACACTTGTGTGAACACTCTATGATGAATGGACTAATATAAATGCTTCAGTTTGACTTGGAATAAAGCATTGTTACTTTAAAGGCAATTTCGGACCTAAAACTAGTACCTGTTGTCATGTTATGTAACACTCTGTAGCGCAGAACTGCTCCTTTCAGCTTCATCAGTTTGACAGAATTCAAAATTTTGTATCCTTTTCCTGTCCTTCAGTGATCCCTCACTGCAATACCCAGCATGCACTACACAAATACATCATACAACCACTGGTTTTCCTCCAATAAACACAGATGTGATATACAGCTTCCCAGCAATCAGCAAAAAAAGCCTGTCCAAGTCTCCGCCCCAAAGTGCTTACCGTTTTTCAGCCCCTCCCACTTTGAAGATGCATCATAGGAAGGTTGTCTTTCTAGTCTTCCTAGTTCCTAGCACTAGAGACTTCTGTGGCACCACTGTAGGAGGCTTTAACTCTTTAACTGTAATCCTGTCGCCCAGACACTTTCAAGACCTACTTACCTACTTGCATTATACTGATTCTGACAAAAGCTTCAATAAAGTGTTTTCTTTTTTTTTCCTCTAACTAGACCCCTTTTAAACAGAGCCCACCTTCCAAAGCTTGTTCCATTTAGCTGCTCCAATTCCATTTCATCCTCCTGGTTATTGTTTCCACCTCTGTTTCCTCTGCTGACCTGTGCTTTGCCCTCCAGCCCTGTGGCAGGCCGACGGCGGGGCTGCTACATGTTCGTCCTTTCGAAGTTGTTTCCTCGGTTCTAGCTGCTTTCATTAGCTTCCACCTCTCTCTCTCTCTTTCGCTCACTCTGAAATGTCCACTCTCCACCAGCGCTGCCCACTGCTGCAGGGTCAAAGGCTGCAGTCCATTGTCTGCCTGGCATTTAGAGCGTACGCTATGAGAATGTAAATGCATCGAACTGATGTCATGGCTATTTTCAGACAAATGTGACTGTTTCTCTGTGACGCTGAACGGGACATTTAAAGATGGCAGACCTATGCTGCCCATCAAAGGTTTGGGGACGCTTTGTCTTCTTTTGGCTGTTGGATCTAAATGAGTTTGTTAATGTTAAAGCAAGAAAAAATACCTAGAAAGATTTAATTAACATAAAGCAACTATCTGCTAATCTTTTGTGCATACTTGACTTTAACTTCACCACTGATAACAGCATATACTGAAACTCTTTTGGCTCTAAATGTGGTTTAAACACTTGATACGTTGATGAGTCCTGACTTCACAACAAAGGGATAACATGTGTGGACTGTCATTATACCACACTTTAACACAGTCACAAGTATTTACATGCATTGTACTGCTTTCCTCTTAATAGGTTCACTTAGTCTTTAATGTGTTAAAGGGGGAACTGCACCATTTTTTCAAATTTCTCTGCATAATAAAACCTTTTAAGGTGTGAACAAATTCATTCAGAGTGGTTTGCTGTGAAATTATCCATTCTATTGAGGAACTAGTTTGGTATTGTAGTAAAGCACCTATACATGAATAGATAGACAAATAAATATCTAGTAAAGCCTAACTATGGTAAAGGGGAAATTTACTGATTTTTCCACAAATTCTGCATAATTACATCTTAAATGTGTAAACAAAGTCATTCCATGTGGTTTAGTGTGAAATGCTTTGTGGCAGAGAAACTAACCAAGTCAGAATTGTTCACAGCGTAGGTGACATGTCGGAAATTTCTCTTAAACACATAAATAATAGTAAATAAAATGTTTTTTGATTCCTGGTTCCTAGCACCACCACTGTAAAGAAAAATCTGAGTCAGTAAGTTTCTCTACAATGAACCTCTTTAAGTTATTACTAACTGAGGAAGAAAACATGATGTTTAGCATTAAAAAACAGTCTGAATAGCTGGCAGTGTGCACCTGGATATAAAACAATAAGCCACTGACACCGTACTGTGTGTTTCACTGCAGTGAGCAGAGATTGCTCTGCTATTTCAGCTACTGCACCACAGTGTACTTAGTTGTAGTGCTTTGCTTCTTCTACCGTGCTAACAATTCAATTGCACAACCACCTGGAAATCAATAGGGCCACTTCAGCGAACACGAGTAGGTGAGCAGCAGCACTGTCCTTGAGTGCGGAGTTCACATCACAGTCCACAGCTCTGTGCATAACAGGGTTAAATTTGGATTTCCCCTAGCTCTATCTCTTTCTTTATCAGTGTCTATCTCTGACTTTTTCCCCTTTTTGCCCACATTCCTATACAGAGCTGTGTCGTGCTTGAACTCCTGTCTCTCTCAATGTTCCCTCTTCTAAGTCAAAGAGGTTCAAAGCAGCTTTAATGGCTGTACTGAGTATAGTATAGAAAATTATAGTACAGTTAAAGAACAGCATGCGCAAGTAATAGCTATAAACTTATCCATGCACTGTTCACAAGCACAGTGTTTTGTAGCAGCTGTTGCCAGGTTACAGAACATTTACAAAAATCCATTCAAAACAAATGAGAAATGATCTTAAACTGTAGCAAAATGAGCAATTCCTGCTACATAGCATTGAGTTTCCAGTTTAAATGCAACAATAGCAAGCTACACTATTTTGCTGTACCCTAGAAGGCAACCCTCAGGGTTTTCTAGGCTTTCGGAGAAGGCCTCATATTTTCTGAACAGTAACAAATTTTTAATTTATTTTTATTTAATAAAATCATCAAGCTTGATTTTAAGCTAGTTTTCAAGCAACTACATTTCAAGCTACTGTAGTAAGACTTTTACTTCATGAACTTTTGTTGCCAATGAAGAAACGTTGAGGCAAAAAAAGGAAAAAATACACATTTTAATGCATTTTTAACTAAAAATATGTACACTTCATTTTTTTTTTTTTCATATGGAAAGAGCTACCACAAAAATCTGGACCTCAGTGGCACTCTCGTGCGCACTCGCGAAACTGCTTCAGGCAGCACGGTGATAAATCAGCACGCAAAAAATGTCTATTAGCACCACCACAAAAGTTGCGCAAATCTGGTCCATAATTAGGAAGTTACAGTGAAATCAATCTGTCATGTCTTGATTTACAATAGCTGGGACCGAATTTGACAGAAAAAAGATCACTCCAGACCTCGTCGCTCACTGTGAATACGTGCGGTAGTCTAACCAGATTTCAGTCAGTTGCACATATTTTACCTTATAATTACCTCAGTTAATGCCATTTTTGCATGATAATACAATATGTACTGCCATTTTTGCATCACATTATTATACGTTTTCGATTCAAGACAACAGTACTTACTGGTAGTAAATGGCACAAGCCCTTTTCATAGAAGGCATATTAAACATAACATAAGCAAAAGTGCAAGACCTATATTACCTGTTGCACATGATGCATCTGGCCAACACGTGCTGTTACAGTCATCTCAGAACTAAACATGAATCTGATTTTTAAGGAAATTATGAAATATGTGTACAGTTGCAATTAGAAAATCTAAAGATAATTATTATCTTTTAGGAATAAGACTCTTTTATCCTCTGAAGCTAAAAAGAAATATGCGTGTACCTTTGTACTGCTTATGCACATTAGAAGCTGTTTATCACGATGCCTTAAGATTTATATTAATTGTCGGTCAATTACCCACCACTGTGTTCTTCATAAAAGAGCAGCTTTGTCCTCATTTACTAAACTTAAGCTGAGTCATTGGTATGTTTAATTTATAAATCTATACTTGGTTTATTACTGTCTTGTATGTATGCATGTAATTTAATATATCAAAAAGGAACCAGGAATTTTGGTCTGCACTCTCAAAATGTTTATCTTCTTAAGATTCCAACCGTGCATACTGAATTAGGAAAACAAGCTTTTAGTTATGCTGCACCATCCATCTGGAATTTGTTACAGAAAAACTTAAAACTTTAGGATCTTGTGTCTATGTAATAGTTTTAAAAACCTTTTTCAAATAGTGGAAGTGGGTAAAACTATTTGTCAATGTTTTAAATGACTTACTGGGCGTCGCTAAATACTAAATTTTCTTTTTTATGTTTGTAATGAGTTATTTGTCTTGTGGGAACAATTTGTTACATGTTGCTGCCTCTCTTGGCCAGGACCCTCCTGTAAAAGAGATTTTAAATCTCAGCGAGATTTTTCCTGGTTATATAAAAGGTAAATTAAATAAATTAATAAATAAAACAAATTACAAGTTCATTTACAGTCAGATCTTGTGCTTTTGTATATAACGTGTGGGCCTTATCTTCTGGCTAAAAGATTGTAGTCCTTTTCTAACATGGCTCAAGAGGAATCCACAAACATGTAGAGGTGAACTGTACAACCGAATAGAGATGGACTCTACAACCAAACAGAGGTGAATGCTACGACCGAATAGAGGTGGACTCTACAACCAAATAGAGGTGGACTTTATAACGGTTAGCTATTAAAAGCTGAGACAGTTGGGTGAGTCTTCACAAATGAGTTAGCATAGTTGAATTATTAGCATGGATATTTGATACTCTGCCCTGTTGTACTCGACTGAGAAACAAAGTGTTCCCAAACAGGAGATGAGTGTGGGTTCACATCGCTTCTTCCAGCTAAAGCTTGTTTTCTTTACTCGCCATTTCAAAGCTTGGCTAATTAACCATCCAAGGTACACAATGCTGAAGTAAGCTTCTTATTTGAATTCTCCTCAGGTGCTAGAGTATAACCTTGCACCATTTAAGGCAGAATATAAAATTTGGGTAAGAGGCTGGCAAATAATTTCAGATTCGTGCGAAGTAGGCTAACCTATTCAGTTTTTTCCAGTTCCAAGAGCTTCCCAGCAAGATTTTTTACGCTCACGGTTAAAAGATTTTAGGACTATTTTTAGGACTATAATTTATTGTGTTCAACAATTACAGAAACCACTCCAGTTCCATTCACAGTGCATATCATCTTGCAAGACCTGTATTAGAAAAAACAAAGATTAATATGCGTATCGTGACATCCCTATAACATACTATTAAAAATCCCTTACCCTTAAGGACACTAGCAGATATGAGCATTATTATAGGTGGTTATGACATTTACAGCTGAACTGAAGTCCCAGTTCGAAGGCTACATTCACATTACCGGCTGAAGTGGCACAAATCCGATTTTTTGCCTTCATGTGACACTGATCTGATGTTTTCAGAGCTCTGTGGACACACAAGTCTGATCTCTTCAAATCTGAACTGAGCCACTTTCATACGTAGTCCAAGATTAGATATGTATCCAATCTGTGGCCATGTGGAATTCATGCATTTTAATTTTTTTTTCCACTGCACGTGTGTCATCATTCAGCGTTAACAAGGCAGCAGCAATAAACCTGAAGTTAGAGCCAGTAAACGGTGGAAAAGCAGCACATCTGACCCTTTTTCACCTTCGTCTCGCTCTAATAATGAGCAGCTGAGAGCTGCTCAGAGTGAATTATCTTTGCAGCGAAGGCTTGTTTTGTGAGTTAGTTTGTTTGCTGTTCATGATGCATGTGATTCATTCACTTGACCTTATTATTAGGATGCGCGCACGCGGGTCGTTTCAGAAAGCAGGTTCGTTCACATTAGAAAGATCAGATCTGAGCAAAAGATCAGAATTGAGCAATGAGGCCAGTAATATGAACGTAGCCTAACAGTCACGGTTCGCCACAGATCATAGCTAACTGAAACTAAGTACATCATCAAGGAATGAATCACCATGCTAACGTTAGCTCTATTACAAACTTGATGTATCTTAACAGTACGGCCTTTCACAGACATACAAAAATAAATATGATTTGGATTTAATAACAGAACCTGAAAGTATGTATTTTTACAAACAAAACAGGCAAGTGTGCTAGAGTTTCTCTTTAGGGTTCGAGTACGGTAAGGCTCCAGAAATGTGATTTTGCCAGAATTTTGTTAGCTTGTCCAGCCTGGCAACAGTTGCTAGGGTGTAGGTCAATTACAGCATTAATATCAACAATACTAATAACAGAAATCATGACAATGACAGCAACGCAAAAACAATGATCTCATTCTCTCTCTGTTTTCCCCTCCTTCCTTCTTCCTGTCTTTCTCCTTGCATGCTAAGGAGTGCTGCTGCTGCAAACCTTAGCCAGGCTGGCTAAAGAAAGCCTAAGATGTGTAATTGGATTACAGCAGGGTAATCTGCAAACAGAATGAGTAAGAGGCAGATAGGAGATCAGTGAGGAATGCCTGGTTAAGGCCTGCTGCATGAGGCCTGCAGAAAAACACTGCGAAACTGAGACTAAATGTACTGGAACCAGCCAGCCCTTGTGATTTGCTTGCCTCATGCCGTTTTTGCATCAAAGTCACTCTGTCAGTAAATACGGGTCAATTTAATAAGACTTTACAGCAAACCATATTTTTTCCTCTTTAATTTTGTTAGCATGCAACACAATGGGGCTGCATCCACTGAAGGTGCGTGCTTTTGTTATGTAGCTGGAGTTTCCAATGCTGGACAAGTCCTAAGAAGCCTTCTCGACCAAATCTGCAGTTGCACATCTCAACTCCCCAAAGCTTGCTTTTATGATTCTCTACTCACTCCTCAGAGTTTAAACCAGTTTCAAGCCCTTAAACTGCTGGCTTATTGCTCAGTTGTAAACACTGAATGGCCTATACCCTACATTTTTTTGTATTTTATTTTTCTCCTATGGTCCTCTTGCAACATCAGTGTGGTTTTATGCACCTAAACTTTATTTTCCAACCTCTCTTTATCCTTTAAAACTAAACAGGCTGTCTTTGTTACTGTACCTTTAAGACTGATTTAAGATGAATGAACTCTGTCCTGATTGGCTGGCCTGTTTTGTGACTCAGAGCTGAAACACTCCATAGAACTTCAACATTAACTGCTTAAATGGCCAAAGTTTTATTACACACTTCTCTAACCTAAGAATAGCTCAATCAGTTTGTATTTAAGTCTTTGTAGTTACTGAATAATAAGTCTTAGTATGTAATAAGCCTGGGATTTTAAGAGATTAAGGGGTGGTTCTATACTGCTGAATAGGTGGATATATGTAAATGAGTTGGTTCTTGTGACATCACAGAAACAATGAGTTCAAAACAGGCTGTTTTTTCGACTTAGTTTCCATATATGGACAGTACAAACTGGGTAGTGAATGGCAGATTCTGAAATTTTAACAATGTTTACATAACACTTCAAACTCCTTCATTTTATAAGAGTGAAAGAAATTTAGTTTTCTATAACTTGGACCCTAACTTGATTACTTTTGAATATTTAACTTGATTAAATACTTAATTTAAAATATCATTTCCATGTGCCTCCCTGAAGTATCGACAGTGATACTGATGATGATGATGCATCTTAGTTCATCTTCTTCCAATAAAACATTCTGACACTTTTGAAATACTGTTCATTATTTATTATTGCTCCGTTAAGCCCATTTTTATTGTTTGGCCTTTTTTAACACCAATAAACATCAAAATAATCAATAAGTAACTCGATCGTGAATATAATTTACTGTGACAGTCCAGTATGTATGTAGTTATGAGGACTGAAGTGTATACCCTTAGAGTTTAAAAGGTTAATTTTCCTCAAGAAAGCATCCGAAGTGAGAAAAGGTGGGGCTAGAGAAACGGCAACAGCCTGGATCATCACGAAACACGATGAGGCGGCTGCTTATTTAATTTCTGAGACCTAATTGGATAATCAGGCTCAGAATGTTGTCACAGCGATCATTAAAAAGGTCAGCGTGCATGTCTAGTAGGTTTGTAGCTGAGCGGCCCTTTAATACAGACTGCTAGTGAACAGATGGACGCTGCCTGTAAGCTGCAATACTGCAAGTTGCTCACAAT